TGAATCTTTGGACTTATTTCATCTTTCAATTTTAAGCATACTGGAAAAAACATTTAAAATGGGTAGTATTTTTTTTTTTACAAATCTTTTTGCAGAAAAGGAGATTGGTATATGACTTGATACCTTTTACCTGATCCTGATAAAGTTGGTATTCCGGATCTAAAAATTATGGCTTCCTGAAGTATGCCTTTCCACAGGATAGTCACCATGCTCCATATTCAGATGGAGTTCTCATAGTGAAGACAGTTGTGTAGAGTGTAACAAAAAAGAAACATTACGTTCTGCTTTTTTCTTATCATGTTCTGGGTACTGACAGCCAAAGCAGCCATGGGAGTGACCCATGCACTGGTATACAATCATCAAACAAGGTGTAATTCATCTTGTGGTGGACATGTACATGGAAATGTATCAAATAAGTATCAAATAAGCACCCTATTAAGCTCAGAAATGTCTTAATGTAAAGAAATAGGAAACTTCCAGGGATTACTAAGATAACATTGATACTTATATCAACATTACAAAAGTTAGATTTATGTTTTTACCCAAACTGTCCATTGATTATCAAGAAATATTTTAAAGGTGAATTCAAAACTTTTCAAATTATCTGTGCAAGAATATTTTTTTTCTTGCCCAGAAAAAAAAAATCATAATTCTAAACATCAGAGACATACAATGGCAAGGCAGAAGTTACATGTGCTTTTATGGAAAATGCTGAAAAAATATGCTGAAAGTGAACATGTGAGCTGATGAGCTGAAACTATTGGTAACTTATGCACACACCACTGAGTAAGTCTAATATGAGAGTGAAAACAAAAATAGAATTTCCGGAATATAAGAAAAAGGGCTTGGCTCTTTGTCACCTAGAATGGGCTAAATGTTGATTCATTTCTAAAGTTAAGATTATCAAATAAAATCAAATGTGGCATAAGAAGGGAAGTTAAAGGATTTTAACTACTGTAGATGACCCAGTTAGCATAGAGAGCAAATGCCTGACTCATCTTATGGTCAGCATGCAACCACTGGTTACACTTTGTTCTGTACTTTTTCACTACTTACTTTATAACATGTTAAGTATTTTGATCTCAAGGCAAAGGTTTGATAAATCAATAATAATAATAATAATAATAATAATAATACATTTTATTTAAAAAGGCGCCTTTCTGGACACTCAAGGTCACCATACAAAAGCATAAAAAAGTGTCAGAAAAAATAAAAATAAAGACAGCAATAAGCAATAAGACCAAAAATAAGTCCTAATCCTTTTTGCTTGTTGCAGAGGTAAGCATTACATTAACAAAGTGAGTGCCTTAGATATTTCTTTTCTTACCTCATGGATCATTGTTGATGCATTTATGGTTTAATTTTGGCCAACCAACCATAAATCCATACATCCATTATCTGACACGGTTGTCCCAATTGGGGTCGCGAGGGGTGCTGGTGCCTATCTCCAGCAGTCAATGGGCGAGAGGCGGGGTACACCCTGGACAGGTCGCCAGTCCATCGCAGGGCAACACAGAGACAAACAGGACATACAACCATTCACTCACACACTCACACCTAAGGAGGATTTAGAGAAGCCAATTAACCTAACAGTCATGTTTTTGGACTGTGGGAGGAAGCCGGAGTACCCAGAGAGAACCCATGCATGCTCAGGGAGGGCCAACATACCATTGATACAAAAGATCAAAACCGCTCCATACTTTCTCGGTTTTTGGACTATCACTACTGTTAAATAGCTTTAAAATCAAATACAATGCCCTTTCTTAAGACGTTTTAGCCTACTTCATGCTGACATTGGAGGTTCAATATAATATAATTCTATTTTACAGTTCATTTTTACAATAAGAATGTGTTCATGAAGGCTTCCTGCTGTGAGTAGTGATTAACTTTGTATAGAAAATTGAATTTATACATTGCTTTGTTCAACATACAGACAACTAAAAGTCCTTTACATTACACAGCACATTGATAGACTCAGCAGTTTTATCACATTTGAATACTGACATACAGTATCAGTCCATTTTTGCCCAAGGGATGCTCCAACATCTGCTCAGAGAACAGCCACAACCATCTGGAATTCCTTCAAAACCCAAGGTAAAAAAAAGGGACTCCTCCATTTTTTTCAATCCCAGATATAACTACACTACACATCCTGACTTTCAAAGTACAATAATGTGGTATAAATGGAAGATGGACTAAATGTAATTAATGTTTTTTTTAGTCATACTGACCACTCACATTGCACTACAACCACATTCCCTCATTTCCTTTACAGACGCTTACACAAATAAGCTAATAATGAAGAATTGTTCTTTTTGATGGTGCTTCTTAGAGTAACAACAGACCTAAACACTCTAATATAACACCATGTTGTTTATCCACTGTGAACATAGTCTGATATACTGTATGTATGAGGTTTATGGATTCTGACTTCGCTGGAAGTTGATTTCTTGGATGAATATTCATGATCTTGGCATATCTAAATGCATGTAGGCCAGTACTAAATTTTCCCCAGTCGACCGTCAGATGGGTGATAGCTTTCGCTCCTCTTCTCCTCTGTGCCATGTTTTGAGTCCTGGGAGTGATATGCAGATGCTAATTAATCTTGTTGAGTTACACTAATTAGAAAAGTAGTGGCACACATTTGAATATGGGCCAGTTTGAGGAATGAAATGACAATGTTCCCATCTAAGAGGTTTGTTGAGGGAGACAGCCCCCTGGTATGTTTCCAAAAATGTATTCTAATTTTTTTAATCCAGACAGCTGTGATAACTCTCTATAAAGAACACTGTTTAAAAAAAAAAAAAGCAAAAACCGTTTCAGACCAATACCAAAAAACTGCTGTCAGCCAAGACGTGCCTCGTTTCACACGGCCAGGTTTCAGTTTTGCATCTTTAAAATTTTCATGTTGATGCAATACCTTTTGGTAATAGCACAGAATGGAATAAAGCTATAAATAATTTATTTATGAATCATTGCCCGAAGTACAAGAGAACACTGCTGTATTTTGGTAATCATTAATAAATAATCCATTCCCCCTCTCTCTGCTCATTGATTTAAGTGAACTCTGGATTTATAGCAAATTTCCTAATGTAATATAAAAATAATTGAGCAAAAGAACAGTAAATTAAATTAATCATTTCATATTCCAATTGAAAAACGGAAAAGTTTAAAATCAGAAAAGTGAGTGAAACAATGTTCACACACATTTCCTTCATTTTCAAACATCATTATCATTATTATTTTTTTTAGATTTCTGCAAGACATGCATTGGAGTTGTGAGAGCCTTAAAGGACACATCTGTGAAGACGTTGCAGAAATGGGAACAACTTGGAGAGAGAAATTGACATTTTAATGGAGAGCAGCGGCACCACCACAGCTGACGGCCATGCAGCACCTCAGACAGCTTAAATATCACAGCTAATTAACACAGAGAGGTAGGCTGTCACAGGCATGATGGATGCTTAGAGGGCACAGATTGTTGCTTTCAACCAACCAACGATTCCTTTATTAATCAAAGCTGGAGATGAAAAGGCTCTCCCACACCTCAGGGAGAGGGAGATAGCAGGAGCTATTGTTGGGAGGGTTTCAATCACTTGCTGTGAGCCCTGTAATGTGTTTGAGCAGGGTACAGCCAAACATTTGTAGGGAGACAGAGTGTTTTCTTTTTGCTTTGCGCTTGTTTTGGTAAACCGCTGAACCACCACTTTGTTAACAGAGCCACGGTGTGAACAGGCAGCTTAGATTTACTGATTGTAAGGGAGATTTCCGCTTGGAGGATGTATTTTTTGTACAGCACTGACAGGAGAGGGCACATAGAAGGCCACTATCAGTCTTTATGGGGAGTCTTCCTCCTTGACGAAGGGAACCAGGCTGAGAACAAGGCAGCACTCCCCCACTTCACCTCCCAACTGACTATATGATCAGTCAGAGATGATTTCAAACCAAGATGATTTCAGCACTTTGTGCATGAAGATGGAGTGTTATCTCATCCTCTGAGATCTCCTCTCCATCTCCCTCACTTAGGAAGGCCCTATTTAAGTGCCAGGGGGCTGTGGGTCCCGTAAATCAGGTGGCAGAGGGAGGGGATGTCTCCCATGGGGGGGAGAGCACACTTCCAGCAGCCTTCAGGCTGATCTCATCTTACCTATCCTAATACAGTAATTAAAGAAGAAGTCAATAACAAAGAGAAAAGTGCTAAAGGGTATGATCTGCACCTCCTACCTCACAACTAATTTGCTAATACAGACACTAGTGCAAATACAAGGTTATGGACTTTTCACCTTCGTAGCCAAAGAATGTGAGTTTAACCTAAAGGATTGTAGGGAAACTATGAACCTTTCCTTACACAAGATGTGTTTCCACTTTACTTCAGGGCAAACAAATAACACTTTTCTTGATGTTAGTCAGGGTTACTTCTTCTCAACTTAATGAGTTGAATTTAAGGATAGTATCTGCAGCCTTCAGAGATTCATCCCCCATTTTTTTTAATTGGGTAATTAATTGTTTTCCGTTTTAACTGTGCAGTCATGGAAAAAAATATAAGAGCACCTTTGTAATTAAAAGAACTGATTATGCAATCACTAACTCCTGAATGCATTATGTGATTACAACAAAAATACATCAAGGAATGCCTAAAAGTAATGTTTTGGCAGTAGGCCAGAGCTATAGATAAGAGAACTCAATTGATTTTGGAGGATGTTAAGAAAAAATGGAAAATGGTGAGATATCAACTCTTAAATGTAACACTTATGAGATATTTGTTTTAGGATTATATTCGTCAAAAACAGTTGTATCTTGAGTTGTACCTGGCATCAAAATAAACTAAAAAGTAAAGGATTAACAAGGGGGATTTATGACATTAATATTATATCATTATTAAAACAACTGCATAGGCCTATTAAGTTTTCATTTATATACAGAGAAAAAAAAATTAGCCAAGCCATCACAAAAAAAAAAAATGTACTTACATTATTTTTTTTAAATCCTTTTAGATCATTTATTTTGATTCAGAATATTATAACATTGACCTATATACCCAATCTTATAACTGTAGCATGGGACAGATTTTTTACCACAGATTAAACCGAAATATCTAAGATCTGTTTTAGAGGCATTTTTAAGGAAAGTTCGTACCTTTGCATCATAAAGATGGGTTAAAATTGTCAGCCCAACAATGCATATTATTACAGATGGACAACTTTATAAAGAAAAAAAGGGTCAGTATAAATAGAAAAGTGAAAGTTATCTTGAAAACAAAACCATTAGATCTTCATTATAAAAAAAAAAAGAACTTGATAATGAAGATCTAATGGGAAATCAGGTAAACAAAAATCTAACTACTGTAAACTGCTAAACTGTATGGTAAAGGACAGATTATAAGATGACATTTTACAAGTTCCATATACAACAGATACACAAATTTACATTGCAAGATATTGCATGATGTATACAAAGCGACATCAGAAGGCTCATAAAAAAGGGAAGGTTCCTTCTAAAGAATATAGGGCATGTGATCTAGTTACTTTAGTGACAACTGTCTCATTGTGAACCCCCCTCACTGTAGACATGTCTGCATCAGCGATTGAATCAATACTCCAGATACTACATACTTGTGCACAGTGCAAAAGCCGAACCTACCTGTGCTAATTTCTATGTCCAAGACTTGCACATGGAGCAGTGTAGCTGCACTTCACTGGATTTTTAATAGCTTTCCAGCTTAGAGACCCTCAGGTATGAGAAAACACTATGTGCTAAACACATAGATTTTAGCACATGCTAACCAAGTAACATTGAATTAAAATAGTGATTCTATCTAACTAAACAGTGATGTATTCAGAGTCAAGTCAGTGTGACAAAAATACACCACATAAAAGACTTTCCCACCTCAAAAACATATTTCTTTTGGCTTTTTTGATTTGTACATTTATAGGGGGGATATATAATCTGTGTCTGCTGGTTATAGGGAGGGGCCAACTGAGCATTTGCAGTATCAGTATTATCAATAAAGTCAATAAAGGCTTGTTGCAACCATTACTTGCTCTCACTTTTCCCTTCATCATTAACTAAACTACTCTATTATAAAAAAGTTTTGGGGAAAAATCATGTCAAGGTTATGCTTGTTTATTTTTTTAATTATTGGGTAAGTTGGTTTGATTTACGCTTTTTATTTCCTACTTTCGTGAGAGTAACAAATGCATAAAAAAAAAAAAACTGATGAAAAAAGTTAACTTTCAAAACTTTAATTTGAAAGCAAAGAAGCTGGAGGAAGAATGAAGATGCAGAGAAATAAAGATGCAGGGGGGGTAAGGTGGGAATTTTTGGGGCCATGTTATCTGCTGGTGTTGGTCCAGAGTCTGATCAACTCTATAGTCAGCACATCGAGGAGGTTTCTGAGAACTTGACACTTTTCTAGTCTAGAAAACAAACTACCATGACCTGTGAATCCACAAAGGCTCTACAGAGTAATGCCAAGAGAAGGGTTGGAGGCTCAAGAGTCAGGAGTCTTGCATTCAAATGATACACAGAACAAATAAACGGATCTGATTTCATATTTTAACTTTCTTATAAACTGAATTTCAAACTTTGATAAGCTATGTGCGGTAATCAATATTATCAGAACATAAATCTTAAAATATGTCCCTTAGTTATGAATTATCAAGCAGTTTCATCTTAAACAAATTGAGCAAATATTTTTGGTGATTTTTAAACTTATTTTAAAATTAATCAGTTTCTTAAATTTTTGCAGTTTGAAACCCTAGATTTTCCTGCTGGGCTGAAAGTAATGTCCTCATATGGTCATGGCTGCCATCTGCTGACATAACTGGGGCATTACTTATTTTGAAGAAAATGACAGTTTACAGCCTGAGCTATATTCAACCTATTCTGAATATCAGTCTGGGTTATCAGATAGATGATCTACTGTAAAATAAGTAATCTTTATTTACAAAGTAAATGTCCAATAATACTTTTTGTTGCAGCAGTGTACATGAGCAGCCTTTACTGTTCAAAAAATAGACAACAAAACAAAAACCTTTACTGGGAGCTAAAACTGACCTTGTTTCAATGTTGACACGGCAAATGCTGAAAACCTTTATTTAAAAGTAAATAAAAAAAAAAAAAACTTAAAATAAAATCTATACAAGCTTATTCCGCAAATACATGCAGATAAAACAAACAACAAAAAACCTCTAACTAAGAGCTGTTTTTTAACTGAAATTTCAAAGATAGCTGCTTTCATGAGACTACAGACTATACCCTTGTAAAAACTCTGGTTCACTTTTGGAGTTCAGGTCCAAAAAACTCTATTTCCTACACCTAAGACAATTTGAATATATTTATATATATATATATATTACCTTCAAAAGCTGTAAAATGTAAGGGAGAGGTCCTATACTTTAATCTACATTGCTAATAGCAATAGAGTTACCCAACTATGACAACATTTTAGTCTACATAACTGTTTAAGTTACACGTTGCATCATGACTGAACCAGCATCTTCGGTCCAGTGATTACGGTCCCATCTGAAGTCTTTCCCAGCAAAAATCATCCATCTTCACTGAAGATGCTAAAAGTGTAAGGGACCAAAAAAATAAAATGACACTGCAATCAGCTGATGGGCGGAGGCCAAAACTGGAAATCTATGAAGGAATTTTGGCTTTAACCATTTCATTTGATATCTGCAAAGGTAACAAGCAGGAACCAGTGGAGAAAAATGACCAATACTAAAATAAACCGCAGGACTGGCACCAGTTTAATCTAATAAGCTTCCATACTGATAACCTGAATGCCTCTATTAGGATAAAAAGTCTGTTGAAGTCACAGGTGTCTTTGCTTCATGAACAGGAAAAAAAAGACATCAGCTGAATCCAAATGCATACCCTAACGTCTAAACCACTATATAGAGCAGGGGGCTTTATAATGGACTTTATGAAAAACTCTCAGCTGACCATTCACTAGACATTTGTGACCCCTATATAGTGCTCTATAGAGGGGTTAGGGCAGACGTTCAAACACAGCCATCATGTACTAACAGAGAATCCAGATGTAATGGTTCCAGGGTGCTTCTTATTGCAGGCATTGAAACATCTGTCCCCCCCCCCCCAAAAAAATATGTTGAGCCATCTAAATGTCATGACAGAGTAGCAAGCAATATCAAGGGAAATCCACTTTAAAGTAAAATTAATCCATATGATTAGCCATAGGTGCAATAAGTCTGTGAATAAAAACAATAATTTGACGTTTTTCAGGTGATTTCTTTCTGCAAGACCGTGTAGCTGTTTTGTCTTAGTTTTACAGATGAATCAGCTAAGAGTAGTGGTGGGAAAATAAACTAAAATAAAAAAAAAGTAGTGGTGAAAGTACCACTGGTAAAAATAGTAGCAGGAAACACTAATCTAAGTGAGAAAAAGCCAAGTAGGTTGGAAAGTTTCTTTTAAGAGGAACCCATAATCCAAGCATGCCTTCAGTCAGTTTGAACATTAAATGCAGTGAGACTGAATGCAGTAGGTTGAATATTAGATTAATATAAAAATAACATGAATAAAAAAAACCTTTGGGGAATTTCTATTATATTTTGAGCAAAATTTTCCAATTATAATTTGCTGGATGTTGACCCTACAACAAAATGTTTGTGATAAATCGTTTCTATTTGAGTTGGATGAAAAAAGAAATCTGCTCCATGCATCAAAATAATCGACTTTCTTGAATTTTGTGTAAATGAACCGATATAAATACTTTACATGACGAACATATCAGCAACCAGCTGTAATGCTTTCTTAACTGTAGAACGCTGATGAAGGATTTTTGATTTTGAACTGAAATATACTGAAATTCCACATTATTTCATTTGAGTCTGCCCTGTGAAGTGGCAAGCAGGAGTGGGTTTGCATGTCGTTCGAAAGGATTGCAGTTCTGCAAAGTACCAAGCATTGCCTTTTTGCAGTTCACCCACTGCCATAACCTTATGTCCAAATCAGTTCATCTCTGTCTGAGCGTCTATGAGATGTACAAACTCCACTTCATAGTTGTTATGAGTCTTCAGCTAAGGTTGTTTTAAGGGTAAAACTCCAGTGATGTCGTGAAGCTGGATGCTGGGATTCGGAAGCTGAGGGTCAAACAGTGAGACGGTTGCTGGAGGGGTGGAGGGGACTCCAAGAAGCTGTATGGGCAGTTGAATCCTGGGAGTACTGGTTCTCCTCTTTGTTCACACCAGTCGTACACAGTCGCCTGTGTCTCAGCAGCCTGTCAGTCCGAGAAAAGTTCTGCAGAAAGGCAAACAAAATCTTTTGAGAAAATGCAGAAGACAACAGCAGCTGTGGGATTTTAGTTCGCCATAAAGTTGTAGAACATCTCATAAGATTGTTGTTTGCAAAGGAAAATATTTTAGACAGACCTGATGGCATCGATCACACTGATAAGGCTTCTCTCCACTGTGCACTCTCTTGTGTCTGTCCAGGTGGTACCGCTGGATAAACCGCATATCACAGGCATCGCAAGCATATGGCTTTTCCCCTGGAAACAATTGCAGAAGTGAACAAATAATCAAAATTCTCTAGAAGTTGCTGCTTTATAAAAGTTAAACTCAAGGAAACTTCAAGGCAGATTAATCTCACCAATTTTTTATTTTATTTTTCCAACATCAGAAACAGAAAACTGCCTCTAAATTCTCACCTGTATGCGTGAGAATGTGTCGTTTAAGGTGGTAGCTGCTCCGGAAGGCCCCGTAGCAGTGATCACAGATGAAGTTCTTCTGAACTCTTAAGGAACTGTCATCATCCATATCCATGTTTGGAATCAACACTTCCACTTTCTCCTTCACTTTGTGGGACGACTTTTTGTGCTTCTTCTTGGGCTGAGAATTCTGGTTTGTCTGGACATCCTTCCCATCAATGATCCTTGATGTGTGATACTCCCCATCTTTGCGGATAAGCTTTGGAATAAGAGAAACATAGCAATGACTGGATATTCAAATAGCTGTTTGTCATCCTGAACTGCAGCAAATAAAATATACACTAAATCTTTAACATTTAAAAAAAGCACATGTTATAATCCAATTTGGAATAAACAAGACAAACGTATTTGTCGACAATGAGGCTTATACTGACTGGTTCCAAAGGTGGAGCCTAGTGATGGATAAAAAGACTTCCTGTAAAGTGCTGGAAAACAAAAACTGCGAAAACAGAGCTCACGAATCTCTGTCTTTCCAGTTCCTCGCTATGTTTATCGAATGCAAGCAGGGTTGTTTTAGCTTATTATATCAGGCATGATTGGTGCGTTGTTATGTACACTGAGCTCAACGTCATCAGGTAAATTTGCGGATCAACCTGGGTTTGGTGTTCCCACTGCATGCCGATTGGAGCAGAGCCGTTTTGAAGGCATTTTTTACCCATGTCACTTGCAGAGGTTGGATACCGGTAGGCCAGTATGAAAGGGGTATAAATTTCTCACTCAGCATTTCAGTTGTCGGTAATACGCTTAAAGTGGGTTTGCCGCCACATACAAAGATAAAGAGTCATAGCTGGGATGAAATATTGGTTAAAAAAAATTGTAGTTTTAATTTTCTAAATATCCTTCAGCCCCACAGAGGGACAGGATAGTTTGGAAAACTCTTTCCCTTAATGACTAAAATTATGATTTAAATACAACTTTTTTTATTTACTCATTTATTTATTTACTGCCTGAACAAAGAAAAGATAAAAAAAAGCAAAAAATTTAAGAAATGTGAAGGGGTAAATGCCTTTTCACAACAATAATGCAGTTATTGGAAATTACAAAACACTGTAAATCATTATTAACATTTCCACATTCTTAGTCCTAGACCAAATGTGTAACTAAATGGTTTTGAACAGAGCGAAATCAGAAAAAAAAAAAAAAGCAGTAAAAAGTAGATATAATAACCTTCAGGCATGGAGAAGTGAGCTGCATTTCTCTCACCAGTGGAGGACAGCTTCCTTCAGAAGCATGTCCCATGTGACTGTGATGACCTTGCCCATGGTGAGATTGGTGCCCTTGATGGTTTAGGCTGTGCTGCGAGTGCGTCTGGTGGCCCTCAGGACTGGACCTGTGGCTGTGACCTGAGGATGACATCATCTTCTTCTGGCTTGGGATGTTGTTGGCTTGCATCAGGGCCATGCTGGACAACACCGCCTCACAACCCAGCAACCCAGCCTGGCAACACAAACAGCAACACATCAGAGCAATCAGAGGGGGAGGCGAGGTTGAAGGACTCCTCATAGAGACCTAGAGTAAGGGAGAGGGGAAGCTGTAGGTGGAGGAGGGGGGGTTAGTATTTGGAAATGACAGAACAATGCAATCGTGAGGGTGATTTTTGGAGATGAAGAGACTTCCACTGACCCATTTCATATGGTCTCGAACTGAATTGGAATGGTGTGTCATCGCCGTGGTTTGAATGCGTGTGTGTTTGAGGGGATAGAGGGGGGGCTTCACTCAGGATGAGGGGGTGACAGGAGAGACCACAGTCCCCCCCAAATCATCAGGGGCCAAAGCCTGAAAATAAAGGCACACGGATGGATTTGTAACCAAGTATTTAGGTCAAACCTTAATGAGCACTTCTTATTGGGTAAGAAGGCCTCAGGTTTGGCACACATCAAAATGGAAAAGAAAAAACAGGTTAAATCAAATATAAAGAAATGATAAGACAATAAAATAAAAAAATGCATCTGATTTTTTTCTTTTAATGTTATTATTATTATTAAATATGTCCCAAGCATTGGAGTATAAAACAATAGAAAACAAAAACTGAGCTGGAAGATCAAAGCTGTGCAAAAAAAAACAAAAAAAAAAAACTACTCCAAATTCACACTTAACTGAAATATGCTCAATTTGAATTACCTGAATAACCAACAATTATAATCTAAAGGAGGGTAAGGAGATAGATCTGAATTCATAATATTTGCATAACTGGGTAATTTAACAATCTGTTTGTCTTTTAAAATAATGGATACAGCTTCTTTGACATCATTTAAATCAGGCAACCTTTACTTTTCTTTATAGTGAACAAATACAGATGAAAAAAAGGAGTAAAGTTAAAGGTATAATTTGGAAGAATGAAAAAAAAAATACAGTTCTTACTTTCACCTTGTATTTTTGCCAAACCAAAAGTGCTTATTAATAAGATTGTTGCACAGAAGCAAAGCTAACAGAGAAAGGGGATAAAGCAATGCAGATTAATTGTATAACAGTCTGGCATCAGTTCATGAGAACCCACAGTTGTTGCAGAAACAAGCGTAGGAAAATCAAAGTTTTTGAACAACTGCCAAGAGAGCTAACAACACAGATGGTGATATGATTATGTTAGATCATTTCATAAAAAAACAACAAAAAACCAAAAACATTTCCTGCATCCAGAATGGCTAAAGAAGAGGGATAAAAAAAGAAAATTGACCACCTTTTCATGTGAAAACAGCTACAAGCAATACAAATCTAAATGCTTCAATAAAAAGGATTCCACAAGATGTATGTATATGTGTTTATACAACGGTTATCTGGTTCCTATATCATCCAGAAGTGGCAGCGTAACATATTTTACCTTCTAGGTCCCTGAATATCAAATGTAACAAAAACATTTATTCGCATCAGCTGCTGTATTTTTCTACAATGTTTTAATGTTTAAAGTGTGACACACTTCTTTTCCATGAACTGTGTTACATTCTTCACTGGTTCATTATTTCATAGTTGCTCAAAGTTCTAGAATCTTTAGGAGAACAAGTCCTCTAACTGTAAGTTCAAAATGAAAAATTCCTTAAAACCCTGTAAAATGTACAAATACAATACACTATACAAAAACAATACACTGTAAGTGCCTTGCAAAGATGGTAAAACATCTTTAAGTTTTACCAGTCCATCATCTAACATTCAGTGTTTCTAGTTGTGGTGAATGCAAAACATCAAACACAAAGTAGCTAGTAACATTTTGAGCTATAAAAAATTTTTTGTATATAAATTTTATTTTTTTCATTAAATTTGTTCACTTTTCCTGTATGTTTCTTTCGGTTCTGACGATCTATAGACTGACCCCAACCGGTTCCAGTTGTATTTCAATCACATATAGACACAAACCCAACTGCTGCTGACTATAAAAAAGTCCATCAGTCCCTTTCATAGAATGAACTGGCTCAGATGTTTCTGTGATGACAAAGTTTCTTGATTCTTTTGCTGCCTTTCTTTTTTTTCTTTTCTTTGGATCATATTGCTGGTGTTTAGCTCTATTCCCTTTCTTTCCAACTAGCTTTAGACACCTCCCCAATAACATGATGCTACAACGTACGTTTTTCCTCTGTGGGGACGGTGTTTTTACGCTGATGTGCAGTGTTAGTTTTCACCAGGTATAAAGTTTTGCATGCATGCCAGGAAGATGAACTTTGATCTCTTCTGACAGAAAATGCATTTAAGGTGTCTTTCACATGGCTTAATGCAAATATATTCAAGATAAATGAGGTTGAAATTTCTTTTACTGTTGATTTTTCCCGTGAATTTTACATCATGTCAATATTTGTGTAGCAAACCTAAGTTGTGGATCTTTGCTGATTTTCAAAAGCTTCTTGGCAGCTCTCTGATTAATACTCTAGCATTAAGTTAGCAATCATTAAAATAGGCAGTTATGTGTTGAGTATCCAGCAGGAAAATGAACAACCATCTCAGTCTTAGTAACAGTATTTCCTATTTTGATTGATGGCTTTTATAATAGGATGCTCAAAAATGCATTATATACACACATATATATTTATAATTTTTTCCCCCCCTAATGCTGTTTAAATTACTACATCAATATATTCCTGAGCACTTTAGTGTTATTATTCTGTCTTTTAAACTACTAATCTAATATGGACGCGTTTATACACAGCGTGTAACTCTGGATTACATTTTGGGATATCAGAGTAAAAAGAGGCTAAATGCAAAGGCATGTCTTATTTTTAAGATGCATTGTTTTCCTCAAAGGAAAAAAAATCGTTTTATTTTTAACTAAACTTTACATTAACATCCCATTTGAATTACATGAAGATATGTGATTATAAAATGCCAAAATTTAAGAATGATTGAGGCGTACGAATTATGGTGACCATATTCCAAATCCCCTAAATAGCTTTAATAAAATGTACTAGAATGGCTCCATTTGTCGTTTATTTAAGAACCATTTATAAATTCGTGCTTCCAAGCAATCGTTTTACATTTTAAATGACCTGTTCAGAGATAAATGCTCATTAGCTGTAAAAACACGCATTATAAATAGGCGTAAAACAGGCTTTAGCTAGAACTGATAGCGCTTGTAAGCGATAGACAAAGCTTAGATTTAAAATATCTTTCTGAGTCCAATGTAATGACATTAGCAAAGACCACAGTATCCCAGAAGCTCTCCAACAATAAAGGCTTTGGAACAACTCTGGTGTAGCTACACTGGACCCCCACCCCCCGACACAGACAACAACAGCCAAGCAGCAGGCAGGCTGGCAGGGCGGGCTCAAAGCCTCCCTCGTCGGCTGCAGCAGCCAGAAACGGCCGAGAGGAGAATTTCACGGAGCGCAGAGAGCTGCGGATAGAAAACACCTCTGAGTAGAACGCTTACCTTTCGAATTATACGGTTTTTAGGAACAATATTTCTTGTCGTGGTTCCAATTTTTTCTCAGTTTACAAACACTGACAGGAAGTACTATCACCGGAAGTGCTCCCCGGAGAGCGCTCTGGTTGGTCATATGGAGGAACACGTGACCTCTGACCGCCTCTTCGGTTTGGGGCCATACGTGTTTAGGAAAAAAAAAAAACATGGGATAGATAAATTTAAGAAAAATAAATAAAGGTTTTCAGGTATTAGTTGTATTGTATTTATTTGTTATATGTGCATAAATATGTAAACATTTAGCAAACTAATTTCCTGACTAGTAAAGACATTCAATACAAGACAAGTATATTAAATGAAAATACACAGAGGCGTAGCCAGAAAATCCTAATAGGGGTGGCCATTCAATATCCAATGAACATTGAGGAGTGGCCGAAAGGCACCAGAACCTCAGGGTCAATCTACACTGTTCCAACAGGAACATGCACAACATCCATATTTTCTAAATAAAGACAAACTTTACTTTCCTGCAGCCTTTGCTAACAAATAGACGCATATATTTAAACATCTATGCTGTGTAAAAAAAATGTAAATGTATAGTGGGCAAAATTCTTTTAGGTTTGAGTTCTGGGTCGAACATATTTCAGTTGTCATTACCTACTTTTATCAATAACCATTCTGCATAAAAAAAAAAGATATTTAAATCTACTAACATCCACATTTAATAAATTTTCATGTTATTAATAAAGTAGTTATTTAGCTATGATTTCACTGAAGACTCCTAGATGACTTGCAGATGCATGCAATTTTTTATCTTTACCCCAAATAATTAAAAAGGTAGTTCTGAAAAGAGCATGAATTCTATATCTATCATCTTTAATGTTTGTATATTGATGTGCATGATTAACTGTAGTGTTTCTGTTGTCAAGTAGTTGTTATTATATTAACATATTGATATTAAAAATTTTAATGTTTAATAAGTTTGAACATTCCCCTTCAGAGTATTACTGCTGCCACAGTCTGTATTAGAACCAAAAATGATAGGGGTGGCCAATGATTGGCTAAGGGTGGCCATGGCCACCCCTGGCCTCCCATCTAGCCCCGCCCCTTAAAATACAGGGAACAAAGATAAATGTAAAGAAAGTCAGACATACCACAACACTTATTTATTTGTTCATCTATCCAGTTGTGATGCAATATGTGTGATGTTATACAACTATACTTATAAAGCAGGTTTAGAAAAAAAAACAAAAAAAAACAATTAGTATTTTAGAATTTGTATTTTTTTATGTTTAACCATTTTATGTGGCTACAATTATTTCTGTCACAAATCTTTTCCCAGTCTCTCAATTTCATCAAGGAAGAAGTCCATGTCTGCTTGGGAAATCAGGGGGGAAAAAACAGTTATGCGGAAAAAGTTGACCCTGTCTCCAAGAGGTTGGTAGCCGACCATCATAGTGCCTTGCTTCATCATGCGTTCCTTGATTACTGGAGCAACCTATTCATAAAAAACAAACAAACAATTATACCATTTATAACTAGAATTAATTTTAAAAAAAAGAACGCTTTTCATTGTTACAACAAGCTAAAGCTACATTTTTACACAGATGTGTATAAATTACTTTAGGGGAAATATTTACTCAGAAATATCAAAACATAATAATGTCAGTTTTCAGCCATGTCCCTGAAAGAGAAATTTACCTTAGCCAGTTTGCTCTGATAGTCAGCATTTTTTTCCTTCCCTCTCAGACTCGGTGGAATGAACCAAAAGCACACATTCACAAACTCTGGCTGTGCACGGGGGACATTTTTAACATAGAGTATAGCAAGTAAAAAAACAACAACACCATATTAATATATATTGTTTTCTTTAAATGTGAACTTACCTCTCTCAGAAGTTGGAACCCATCTCTTTTCTTCATTTGATCCACTAAATACCTGTTTCAAAATAACAAGTCTTTTAAATGCCATATAATTCAATACTTTGAAGTTTTGTAAGAAACTGCCAACAAGAAGAAAGATTTGTTTTTAGTGTATTAATTATAGTCTTACAAGTATTTAATTAACTTTTTTAAGTTTTGGAGAAAATGGGTGCTCAAAATTTAATTTACTAAAATAAATGACAGACAGTGGGAAGATCTATGGTTCACCTCTATTTCGGGTAATAATTGATGCTGATGTGGAAAACATTTGGTTTCTTTGACAAACCAAATATTAGTCAGGTTTGATGTTTTATTATTAAAAATCTTGAGCACAGATGCAACAAAACATGTAAGGATTTAGCTAAAAGCTTAGACAAATCAGACACTGTTTCCCACCTCATGCAGTTTTCTGCTCCTTTACTGCAATCTGTTGGTCAAAAGCAGTGTGCACTAAAACAAAGCTGCTAAAATGGTTGGACTGCTACACTTTAAACCATAAGAAAACCCAGAACCATGTTTTTCAATTGTTTTTTATTTTATTTTAATTTGTTAGAACAACACAAGTATTGTAGATATCATGGTTTGTTTGTCTGTTTTAAAATATCTTGACTACACTTTATTGAAGGCTTTTTTTTCATGTAATTTAAACTTCCACCAAGGGATTCATCTTCTTAATTAGCTTATGATGTAAATGGTCCCATGTGCACAATCATATGCTAAAGGATTATCATCCAAAATAAACAACAAACTAGATAATTTAAACAATAAAAGCCCTAAAAGAATATATATTTACTGATAAAAAAAAGTGCAGAGTAAATTATTTATCCATGTCCTTGTGATCAGTTGCCATGACTGCTTGGTTTTATTTAAAATATCAGAATACTAAAAAAATACAAAAAAATCTCTAAAACATTATATTATTAGCTATATTATTTTTATTATTTGCAAGAATGCATTATTTACTTCTTTGACAAAACAAAAAGGAAGGACCAGAAAATAAACAGATATACAGTAAAATCATTCATATACTTCACTGCAGGAGTAGGCTACTCAGAAAAAGGAGAGGCTTTATATTTTCTTTCTTTCTTTTTTTTTTTCATACCTTGCATGGAGAAAGGCTTTGTCTACACGCTGTTCCAATCCAGTAGAGCCGATGGCTTTCCACATCAGCCACAGCTTCAGACAGTCAACTTTGCGGCTGCACTGCAAAGACTTATCCCCGATGTCCAGATTCACATCGTAAAATTTGTCTTGCTGGAACAGATATGCTGCATTTGCACTGTGGCACTTCTTCAGTAAGTTCTGCGGAAAAGAAAATAAAAAATTACGAAAACTTCAATACAGACATTTTTAGAAAAATATAAAATGAGGTATAAATCAAACCGTGGTATCCTTAAGGAGCAAAACAGAGCACTGCAGGCCAGCAACCAGCATCTTGTGTGGATTCCAGGCTACTGAGTTTGCTCTAGTGACAAATGGATATAAACAGAATAACACACACGGGCCCACAGAGCTTACCTGCAGACATAACTGACCTTTATCACATTGTACAAATAAGAAATCACAAACTAAACCTTAAACAAAGAATTAGGTATATCAAGTAAATCAATACCTGTGAACTCCTTCCATCAGATGTCTGTGTTTCTTGGAAAACAGCACACTTCCTCCCCAGGCAGCCTGAGACAAGTGACGAAACAACAAGAAGGATAGAAATACACTCAGTACAAAAAAAAATAGTGAAGCACTTGAAATATCTTCAACGACTTCAACATGAAGTATTTTCCCATAAAGACTCACGTCAACGTGCAGCCACAGCTTGTGTTTGTCACAAACATCAGCTATGCGATCCAGCGGATCAAAAGCCCCCTGCACTGTAGTGCCTGCGGTGCAGCTCACAAGGAAAGGCACACTACCCTGGTAGAAGGAAAGACTTTTTGATTATGCTTTGCAAACCTTTCATACCAAATAAACTATTGCACATATTGTCCCATCACAACCATAAAGTCTAATGTATTCTTAAGACCTTTGATAGACCAACACAAAGCAGTAAATAATTATGACCAGGTGGAAATGCACAGATGCACGATTAAACAAAATCCAAAGCAACCAATTACCTACAGTTGTTATGAAATATTTAAAACAAGAACTTTGGACATCAAAGGACAACATGAAGACCAGGGATCTTTTCAGGTGGTTTAGAGAAAGAGCTGTGGTAAGGTTCAGAGCAGTTTTTTTTTTTTTTTTTAAACCCAAACATCTCCAGCTTTGAATATCTTCTAGAGCTTAGTTAAATCAATCATCTAAAAATCTAAATGACAGGTCACTAAATCAGAGCAGCCACAAGGCCAATCGTAACTCTGGAGGAGAAAATAATTGGATACACAATCTGTCATTCACAACCACCAAAGAAAAAGATGAATTGATCAGTTGAGACCAAAACTAAACTTTTTTGAAATTCAATGGTTTATATAGAGCAGAGGTAACTATGAAATATGGATCTGGCAACATAATGCTGTGGGGACAGTTTTTATCAAATGGGTTGATAAAAACTGGTCAAAGTAGATGGTAAGATAGACTGGGCCAAACACAGGGCAATCCCAGAACAGAACTTAAAGGTATAGGGGAGGAACTTCGTGACTTTTTGAAAAGACCCGCCCTCTTCACTTGAAACAAAAAAAATGCACATGTACAACCCTGTACCCCTCCAGAGAGGAAACACCTATTAAACGTGTGTTAGAGCATTAATGAGCCCATTTCTCCTCCTGCACCCTCCATTTAAAAGTTGCTGCTTGCATTGCTCATACAAGCTTACTCTCCTTAAGAAGATTTGCAATTTTTCCACTACTGTATGTCAGACTCTCCACGGGTAAGTGAAAATGGGGATGAGCACATTATGTAAACATATCACCAGAATGATTGACAATTAGGATGACTGCTTACTTTGATGTTCCACCTGGAAAAAGAACACCCTCCACTATACCTTAATTCACTTTTTTAAGACTGTAGTCAGGCAAAGCTATAATCAAAGTATGTGTAAGAATGGCCAAGTCAAAGTCCAAGCCTACATCCAAAAGATAATCTGTGGCACAATCTGGAAATCACTGTTCACAGGAATTCTCCATCAAATCTGACTGAGGCAGAACTGTTCTCAAAAGACCAAACATGCCTCTCATCCAGGTCATAGTCA